TGCTGAAATGCTAATGGATTGTATCATATTTAACAAACAGTAACACACAGCAGGATCTAAACGTACACTGCATTGCTTACACCTACCTATGCTTCCCCCCGGTTTAGAAAAATTAACAAATTCATTTGTGAAGTTGAGAACACGGTCTGGGACAAATTTTCAATCATCATCTTTCTACTGCATTTTGAGCCACAGATCCAAGCATTCAAGTTATTCAAAACTATTACAGTATACAGAAAATAGTTACAACAAAAAGATCAAAATCTCAAAAGCACCCTTTTTCCATAAGCACCTTGTATTTAATACAGTTTCCGATTTCAACAACATTACATCTTTTGTAACACTAACTATAGCTTCAAGTGGGGGTTTCCTTAATTACCTCTTGATGAGAAGGGAATTAACAATATAACTAAGGGCTCCTTATCCTCTTGCTCATATGGCTAATTGAGCACGGATTTCTTTTCTCCTGCTGTGTACCAATAATGCATGTAATTCAGTTTTCTGTGTTTAGTGCTGAAATAAAGTTGACTGTATTGGAAATCACTTGCATGGTTCAGGTTTGGAATCCAAAGGTCTGGACTGTGGATGTTTCCTAGGGTTAACGTGCAGGAATTACCAACCTTAGCACCTTTGTCCCTCCACTGGCAGTTTTTAAGGCGTTTATAAATGGATACAGTTGGCACAAGAGCCAGCTAAAAACATCACAAGTCAATATCCCTGGGTGGATAATTCTGTACCTGCAAAAATATCAATAGTAACCATCCCTCCCAGGCACCCCTTCAGCTGGAAGGCATAAGGGGGAAGTTACTGGACATTCCTGTTGTCTCAGGCTACAATACAATCTTTATCTAAAAAAAAAAAAATCTATACATATACTGTCTTTTTTTTCTTTCAGCAGAGATGAAATGAAAGGGCTTTCCAAACTGCTATATCCATTAGGATAACTAGCTGAAGTAATTAAATTATTGACATGCTTTCCAGCCCTCGGCGTAACCCGCAGTTTTTAGTGGCTGATTGTCTGTGACGTCTCATTCCACAGCATTTTTTTCCCCGGTCAGCAAACACAGGTTACAACGTGAAGTGTCCATGATCATGCACAGATACTCGCAGATCTCTCCACATTTAGCATTTAGCTAAAGCTGCTGAAAGAAATATGATGCTTTAAACTGATGCAAGCTTATAATCGAAGTATAAATGTGAGTTCTAGTATTGCCTGCATAGAGAATTTCTGATGGCTCCTAGCTGGCTTCAGGACAGATGAGCTGGTGACTAAGTTCTACGAAATATTTCATAATTGCTCTTTCTCCTAAACTGCTGCTCAGATGATCCATTACAGAGCGTGCCCCCTGCTCAGCTGCAGCTTTCACCATGGGTAGTGTTGAAGAGGAATACGAGCATCTAGCAGGCGGGGGGCAGAGGAAGCCGCTGGTGGCAGTGACTCAGCTGCAGAGCTGCCCGTGCCTCTTTCCAACCAGCCTATCTGCTGATTTACTTACTCGGTAGCTGCTAATTGACTCTGGGAGGAAGGAAGCTTTCCGTTGAATCAGCTCATGCTGAGCCTACATGTTCAATAAATCCCAGCCTCAAGGCACCGTGGGAGTGCGGGAACAGGGCAGGCAGATGACAGGAACACCTTTCCCAGGATATGGCAATGGGAGGGAACATGGGCACACTGTCCCTTTTGGTGGCTGCTATCTGTCCAGCTGTAAAGTGAAACCTCACACTCACTGAATTCTGTTAGCTCCTGTTTGATTCAACAGAGCGGCCACAGTGAAGACCCAATGAAGCAGACAATGTGACCTAGCAGCTACACAAACATATAAACACTATATGCAAAACCAGGAGGAGATCAGAAAAGAATACATTTCTACAAAGCAGGAGCCCAGAGCCCAGTCACAGCAGTCCCTTTAAGCAAGTGGAAAGACAGCACGAGCACACTCTGCAGGGCTCTGCTCAGGGTATGCAACAGGGTGAAACTGGACCGTGAATGAAACGAATGTTGTCTGCTGTGTGAACAGCCATCTGGAAAACAAGAACACACCCAGGCATTTGTCTACACTGCTCTCCTGCTGCTGCAAGTTTGATCAGAAAAACCAGCAACTCTGCATCACTAATAAAGATGATCTTTTCGGTCTGTCAAGGTTTTTTTGAGTTTGTGTGATCATCTTTAAAGGGTTCCCCATACTGCTAGCAGGTCTATTCTTCTGAACAGCAATAACTGTAATCACGTAGTCATTCCTCAGCGCTCCCATGCACACCATGCTTGTCTCGAGCAATAAAACACCCTCAGTGTCTCCACAATGCCGTCAGACATCAAACTGAGCCTCTCATTTTACTCACTTTGTGTTTCCCGAAGTTGCCCATTAATGATCGACTATGAGACTTTTTTCCACCTTCTTTCATGTCCAGGTTCTGTGCAGAGAGAGTGCAATAAAAACTGTGACTACATACTTTCAGTAGTATCTTTAAGAAGTCTGCTACAAGCTCTAAAAGACAGTTTCAACCTGATGTAAGTTCTTGTACCTCACCCTGATTCACTATTAGAAGAGTACAGTGATTGCACGTGAGAATAAAAGTGAGCTAAAGCAACATACTGATGGGTGAACACAAACTGAAATCCAAAATCTCATCACAGAACTTTCCCAATTTCTTCATATACATGATAGCTTAGCAAATCCTCTGATAGTACGGAAAAATACTAATGCTCAAAACAACCACCAAGCACGTAGAAAAAACAGGGAAGCAACAACAAAACATAACAACATTTGAAAATAGCCACAAAGCAAAAGGGGAACAAAAAAATCTCCCACCAGATAAACGTGGACTTTTCATAGGCTGCCTGAAGTCAGTTTCACATTCACAGCCATGCCCCTAGACACGTTTGATAATTCCTGCCAGCATCTAGCTTTTTCTGTCAGAAAAGCACATCCCTTCATCTTCTAAAGAGCAAAACAAAGACCTAAAGATGCTGAAGAATATTCCCCCAGCACTTCAGCAAGTCCTATGAACTGCAGTTTTTCCCTGTTCAGAGCTGAGTTGGAATTCACTTCTGGCTATGGTAACAATAAGGGCACTAGATGGTTTCTTCAGTTCCAAGAAAGTCAATAACCCCGGTATCGACATTCAAAGATTTGCTCCTGGCTCAGGCTGAAAGTCTCTGTAAAACCTAGAAGGAAACCTTGGCAGATAAAAGCACTTTTTCTCCCTCAGATAAGAGCGAGAGTTGACAGTTTCAACAGCAAACCCAACCAGTATCAGGCCGGACTGACAGTACCATACACACCACCTTCCTCCCTCACCTCTCCAAAAACACCCGATCATTACCGGAGATTAGTACATCAACTTGTATTGTGAATGCTCTTTTTTTTTTTAAGTAATAAAAAGTCTTTGGGAAAATTAAAGGCACATCGGTAAGGAAGTAAAGGAAAATGAGATTTGACCAGCAAAAAAGTAAAAAAAAGATTCCCAACAGACCTCTTTGTGGTACATCAATTACACAGTAACTGCTGGAAAAGAGCTTTACAAACAAAGCCAGCTAATGAGTTACAGAATCACCAAACCATCACAACCTTTAACCATCTAGTTATCTCCCATCTAGGTCAACAGTTGCTATGAATTAATCTTCCAGTTGTTGTAACATTATTGCTAATTGTTCAGCTCTGTATTGCTTTAAGACCCTTGAAAACAAGTCGCATACAATCAGTGCTTCCACAGGACTGCTGCAGCAAGGGAAGAGGTCTCTACATGTCCCTTCATAGTTTAAAATAAGTCAGTTAGAAAATTCCAGCACTTTATAATATTGCCTGGCAGATGTTTGAGTAACACACTTGCGTTACTGAACTATTTTCAGTATCCTGGTCATGTCAGTGACATATAATGGGTAATCTCAGGCACCATATCCCACAGAAACACCTTATGGAAATTTGCATTATTTAAACAAAACTCCCTGCCCCCGCATGCTATCTAGGGGCCAATCGTTTTCCAGACACCAGAGAACATATTAAATGTAAGCATTCTAACTGAAAATCATATTGAAATGGCTCAAATCTGACCATATTTGTTCAGAGTTTGCCCTCTGAAACCCCACTTCTCTGCCTCATGAAGGCCAAAGGGAACAGCCAAGCTGACTCTGTTCTCCCACTGCAAAGCACAGTCTGAAAATAACCCTTCTGCCAGGTCAGACAGATCTGTCCTTTGCAATCTTACAGCCTCTTCCCGCCACAAGGCAGCTTTGACCAGATGTCTCAAGCACCAGCACAAGCCAAGTATGTTTGCTGGAGTCAAGCCTGGCTTCGGGCAAAAGTCTTGTAGGTCCAGCCTCGGAAAAAAATATTGACAAGAACTACCTAAGCCCTATGGAGTGGGAAGACGTGCAGAAAGCAGAGCTACGTGTACCTGACCTTTAAAACTACACTGGTTACACAGTAGGCACAACCCCCACAGAACAATTCACTCTGATTTAACAGAACTGGGGTTTGCATCTGGTTGAGGCGGCAGTATGGTAACCATGGATTCAAGGTACAAACTGTCTATTGATGAACTCAAAATTCCAATACATTTTACTGTTTTACAAAAATAGTTTGATGTCAAAAGGGAAAAGAAACACGCCATTCTTAGTATAAAACAGTCTGTGCATGAAAAAACAGAACCTTGCTTTGGGCACAATCCTGTGTTTTAGCACTGCACAAACCAGCCATCAGCATTACAATTACCACGGCCAGTCTTCATTGAACCAAGGCAATAGAGAAAGGATCTTTCCCCAATAAGCTAGACACAAACCAGATTGCTTGACATACTCTTGCAATATTCATACTTACTGAATTGCTTTCAAGCATTACAAGGAATAAACCAGATTAGAACATATTGAAACAACATATTCTTCACATTTGACCATTCAAATTCTCTCAGATATTTTCCTGAAATAGTTCCAAGTTTTCACTTAGGATAAAAAACCTCTCAGAAGTTGTTCATAAGTTATCAGCTTTCTCATCTGAAAAAATGTACAATACACATTGCATTGCCTAATATTCAACAGAGCGTGTGAAGGTGTAAAATCCCACATACCTGCTTCAGGTTAACATTTAAACCCTCGTGAGTTGCCTTTAGCAGCGCTCTCACAGTGAAGCTGTCGGGATCTTCTTTGTCCCTGATTTGGGATTCTTTTATCAGAGATTCCAGTTTTGTTCTTATAAAAGATTCCACCTGGTGCTCAGTTGCACCATTACTCTGAAAGACATGACAACACCCAGTTAAAGTAGATGATTACGTCCATCACTGCTGGGACAGCCTGAGGGAGCATTACACACACTTCAGGCCACTCAGCGCTCCCAACATTTCCTTTATCTGTGCGAGAAAAAGCTTCTTGCATAATCCAGGCAAAATCACGCAGGTGGCTTTTACTGTCATTTCCATGTTCCTTTTCCTCTTTAATCCTCCCGGCACATAATTTACCCTGTTTCACCAAAGCACGGTCCAACACACAGATCACCCTCTGGCCCTGGCGTTAGCTCTCTGTTTCAAAACTCTCCCAAGCCTGACCTTCCCTTCCAGAAGATGCCATGAATTCTCAGCTCATGCACCCATACACGTCATCCAAAATATCAGACCACCTAAGCATCATTAGATTCCTGCTCCAAACAGCAAGAAAGAAGCAGCAATTACTGTTAACAACAGTCCTAGGGACTATACAGCCCCAAACCAGTCTCTTACATAAGGCACTTAAAATAAAAATGGATTCTAAAGAAGGTAGTGTACTTAGCGTTCTTCTGTCCATGGGGTGTGAGACCTCTCCTGAGGCAGGAGAGGAAAGCAACTGTTCTGTCTTAACACGTTCCGTTTCTAGCCCCAAAAGTCATACTGTTTTGCACTGGCTTTAAGCATCGCCAAACTTTGTCTTGGGTCTTTCTCTTAAAGAAAGCCTCACCTCATCAGGAGTGCTCAAGCCATGTTAGTAAAGCACATACGGGTTACACAGGCTGCTCCTACTGAACAGCGCGTAACAGTAAATCAGGCATTAAGCTGGTTCAGAACTGGCTGAGCAATCTTATCTCATCTTACTATACCCACAGAGTTACGTTCATTCAACATACAATTATTCCCCTGAACTTAGACCTGTGGAAGTCTGTACTTGTACTTAAACAATCATATTCCTTAAGATTATGGGATTGGGAGTCTTCAAGTTTCCCCATAAATGTGTCAATGCCAAATATTTCCAACCCGTGGTAAACACTAACAGGAATACAACATTCTGAGCCACTGAGCAAGCCGATTTGATCCCATGCTTCAAGCCTTTACTGCAAAGCTGTACTGCTGTCTGAGGCTGTCTTGTGGAACATATGGGTTGATTGACATCCAAGTGCAATCTAACCTCTAAATAATTAAGAAATTAATTAATCATGATTTTGTCCAGTAGCATAAAGGGGGTTTGTTTATCTAAGGGGGGGAGGTGTCAAACCAGCCCTTCTGGGTGGTGTACTCGGATCCCTCAAGAGATGTGGCTGACACCAGCATCTCAGCAGCACCAGAGTAGGGGAAGAACTGGCATAAACACATGCTGCCTCTGAACCAGTTCAGATGGGGACTTCTGGTACCTGTAAAGCAAATCCCAAGCTGTTCTGAAAATCCTTCAATTGCTAATAGCAGGCATAAACGATACCGACAAGTAAAAGCTCAATCTGTTAACCAAAACCAGTCAATGATGACTACGGATAGGTGTTTCTCTGTGGCAACAAGGCAAACTCACTGGGCTACATTCAAAAGTAGAGATAAAAACTATATTTGCTAAAAATTAATTTGAATTTTATCTATTCTTTCTGCACCTCCCCAAATAGTGGGGTTTTTTTGTTCGAAAGTTTTAACTGTGAAGCAAGGCTGCCTCCTGATGAGGAAAAAACACCTGCTGGGTAACACATATTAGCATTGCATACCAGTTACAGTTTGTAGAAAAAAAAAAAAGTTTTAATAAAATTAACAGTAGAAAACTAAAGGAGGAGCTGAGAAATAAAGAGAACAGAAAGCAAACTTCAGTGTCAAAAAAGAAACAGAAGGATTGAAAATAGAAGTGTTTCCAACTTCAGATATTTTTTCCATTTGTATGTCTCCTTTCATAATTTCCATCTAGAAATTGTGCAGCAATTCCATCATGCTGTTGCTTTGAGTACTACACGTTTGTGTCTGAAAAAAAGCCTAGCATGCTTATAGTGCTGGCATCAATGTTTTCAGCCTAGGGTACCTGAAGTACTTAAATCTGTCATTTATATGATTTGAATGACACAGTGCACATTTCCGAACAATGTCATTCCACATCTACATGTGGACTTACATAACTTCTGTATCTTAAGGACCTGACTTGGAAATCCAAGTTAAAAACTCTAATCCATGAACAACTGTAAGAAGGATTATGAAATATGCACAAAGAGACATAGAGATGTAGCAGTTCCAGGAACTGTGTGTATGCACGTACATAGCAGGCCTTTAACTTGCAGTCGTCTTCAATTTCATCGGCGCTATCCTCATCTGAAACTTCTCCTTCCTCAGCATCTGCTCCAAGGCTGTATGGCAACTTTTTACCCTAAAATGAGGAAAACATTCACGATAAATGCACACATGGTCAGTGTTATTTAGTGCAAAGACCAAAATATCCCATTCCTCAACTACTTCTTATGTAAATTGGGACCAGAGTTGAGAATTCATTTTCAGAGAGTCTCATGCAAACTGGTTCAAGGACCCAGATTATTACAGATGATAATTTAGGTATTTCTGGAAGAGTTTGTTACTGAAAGATCTTTGCAAGCTCTTTCAAAAGAAGCATACCATCTCCCATCTCTGGAGCAAGCCAGCAAGTGTCCAGAAGATTTTTTTGAGTTGACTCTCAGATATTTCAGGCTTACTCCTAGCAAGCAGACTGTTGTATACTTAAAATAAAACTCTAAAAATTAGAAGCTGAGATTTTGTTATAGGCTCTTCGTCAGAATGGAAAATGCAGACACAAAAGAACTCACTGCAAGCAGCCATCAACATGAAGGAAGCAGCAAAGCCTATTTTAATACTGCATGCTCATGCAAGAGTGTAGTCAGCAATCCAGAATTAGTTGCTAATCCAGTACTGGGAATGTCATATACCTACATTAGAAAGGAACTACTTTAATCCCATGTCTAGTTTCCAACATCTGATTAGAGTGGTGAGCATCAAACAGAGGTTACTGGCTACTTCTGGTAAAAAAAAGAAATTTAAAGAAAGAAGCTCTGACAGATTCATTACCTTTTTTAGAGCATTAATCTTTAGTTCTGCTGCACGATCACTTACAGCGAAGCCCAATCACAGAACCTTAGAAATGTTGGCTATGGGACCTCTGAAGGTCTCCAGTCCAATCTCCCAGTACGGGAGGATCACCACCAGCCCTAGATGAGCTTTGCTTAGCCAAGTCTTGCAAACTCCCAAGGGTGGGAGCCTTCTGGGCAGCCTCCTTCCATGCTGCACAACCCTCAGCTGAAAAAAGCTTTTCCTGCCATCCTGTCTGCACCTCCCAAGCTGTAACATGTGGCCACTGCCTCTCGCTTTACCATCTGCTGCTTAATAAATCACATATTAAACTTCTGTGTTGTTACTTCTGTGTGTCTTCCTCACCAACAGCAGAACTGTTCAGTCTACCTGCTTCATCAGTGACAAGAGCAGACAAGAATTACACTCAGATTTCTGCAGAAATGAAGAGAATTGATTTATAGACTGCATTTTGAAATTAATAATCAGTGGGTCAAATTCACTGCCCGCTGGCACCTTTATACCGGCTTAAATCCATGAGTGTTGTTAGAATTACTCTTTATATATACTAGCAAGATGAAAATTATGCCATTACTTGAAATTGTTTGGCTAATGAATCAGTACTGCCTTTCAAAGGAAAATGTATGAAACACAGCAAAAATAATAGCAAAAAGATGAGAAACTGGATTGATTCTCAACAAGACGCTGATTCCTAAATGTGATTTTATATTTTCCAACAGGGCTGCTTAAATTGAGCAGGAGATGGGAGACAGGGCTTTGTGAAAAGACACTGTGATGCTTAAAATAGGATTCGCCATTCTGAAAGCATTAGCTCAGCTCCTTGCTGTTCTGTAACTACTCACAGGGTTTCAGCAGTGTCAGCTGAAGAATCAAACTAAAGTTACAAACTCAAATGTGCTGGGAAGACCAGCTCAGAAGTTCATGTAAGAACAGCACAATACCAAACTTCTCTTGCCTTTTGTGCATTGACAGAGAATTTCAAGCCAGGTTTTGTCGTGTGACAGACATCGCACACTATTTTGTTTGTCTCCCTAAAACCCCAACACTATATGCTCCCATAGTTCATCAACTAGCAGTTACACAAGAAAACTGATTTGGTGAAATTCAAAATCACAGCTGAGCACTCCAAGGTTTTCTAATTCAGAGTCAGCTCTGCACTATACATTGGATCACGTTCAAACTAACATCAAACCAAAACTCTGAATCCTCGTAGCCAGCTTGATACAGAGGGAAAAATAGTGTCTCAAGAGCTCACAGCAAAGTAATTGCCCCCATGTGTCAAAGTAGAGTAGACAATCTAATAAGCCACAACTCTATTAATCATCCTCTCAAAAGCCTGCCTTGCATTTCTTTCTCATTATATCCACACTGGGCTTTGAAATTCCTTTCAGAGCAAATCCGTTTATACTGAGAGGCTCAAACAATTAATCCTCCATACCCCAGGGCCTCCTCCCTTGCTGCTCCTTACAGCCACCTCCTGAAGTGCTCTTCATTCATAAACACTGCCGATGAACTGCAAAAACGGTTTCATTTTATGAACTATTGCTGATAGCAACGTAAGAGGAAAATGCAAGAAAATACCAGAAATTTTCTGATGCTTTTACATTATTCCAAAATACTTTGTCCAAGGAGGGACTGTAGGATAATGTTTAGGTACTATAGGGATAGGAACCATACACAATAATATCCACTAATTACAAACTAGACAAATTTAAAAAAAAAAAAAAAAAAAAAAGACATCAGGTTCAGGTAACTGTGTCACAGTTCCTTCTATTCATAACACTGCATTTTATATCACTTTTCTGCTCTCCTGACTTAGGTTTAAAAGTAAGAACCGCTGACTTTAAAACTCTCAGATAAGATGCCTACGAAACAGAAAGAATTTTCTTTCCACTGCTGCTGATATCACCTCCCTGTGGAAACACTTACAGAAGTACTCTGGGACACTCACCAAGTCCAAAGTAAACTCTGTTTCAATGTCTCTGAACAGCTCAGAATTTTAACTCCCTCACTGCATCTGTACTGTTCCACACGGTACTGCTGAACTGCTTCTCCAAAGCCAAAGAAAAAGCTGCAATAAATATCATATGCTCATTTTTGTTGCATTTTGAACACGCCGCTGGTAGCAAGTTACCTTCACGAGGATTTTCCCTTTCAGATTTTGAGGGCTGGGAAGCTGTCTGGAATCTCCAGTGACTACAGATGACAAGTCGAGTTTGTCACCAAGTATCTCCTTCAAGTACTGAGCGATCTTCTTTTGCTGTTGAATACTGCAGTGGTTTTCAATAGACAGTATCACTGGAAACCTAGAAACAAAACCCCCAGACATTGTCATAGCTGTGGTTTAAGAGAGAAGCCCAGCACAGCTTAAAACATAAACTGGTTTTTGTTTGTTTCTTTGTTTGGTGCAGCTACAGTGAGTCAGACCAAATCTCTGGAGATGCCCAGACTCTGGAGAAGGAGAAATATTTGGCAATACTTTCCAGAATACTCTCCCAGGTTCCAACAATTTACAGATCAAGTTTCTTGAGCTAAAGACAATGTTTCTGTATATAACAGCCTATTTATCACACAACCTTGCCATCTTTCAGTTTTGAATTCACCAGCTCCTATTTCTAACCAATAACACTAAACTTTTGGGCTTGGTGGTTTTTTTCACATCTCCATCATTGAATCACTTTTTTTTTTTTTTTTTAATAAAGAGAAGTAAGCATTTTCCCTTTATTCTCTGTAAACTACTCAAAATTCTAGACACTCATGATTTGAGAATGTTGTGTATATATGGTTAAACTCCATGATTTTCATAATAAACTTTGTTATATGGTACCATGGCAAATAAAATAGAATCTGAACATTACCCCTCACCTTGGTATTTCCTTAAAGCTTCTCAATTTTCCTACTGAAATAAAGAACTTTCCTCAGGATGAAAATGTTATGGTATTGATTTTTAAGGAGAATTTTCCAGTGGAAATGAATGGGAAGTTTTGTTCAAACAAAAGACAAAAAAAACTAGATACTCAACAGTCGCAGACTGTTCAAAATCTTACTGAGCTTACAATGCATGAGAGGTCTTTCTAACTGAAGTTGAACTTTTAACTCGATTGACGGAAAGAGCTCATGCAGTTAAATAATAAATCTGACACAGGCAATGAACAGGGGAACAGAATCAACTTTATAATTTCTCAATGTGTTTAGAGGAATATATGTACTTCCTGATGTTGACTGTTGTTTTTCACATGGGATTAACTACAAAACAGACAGGTGTATCCTCATAACTGACTCTACACTTACTCATTTTTGATGAAGGCATATTTATTGATAGTTTCGGCCACATCACGGAAGAGTATTTTAGAAGTAAGGGTATAGCCATGGTGCACTACTGGCTCTCCATCTGGACCATCCCAGCAATCCACTATTAAGAGAAAGAAAAGCTGTACATTAAGAGACGCCCATGATGTTATTCATTTCTGCTGATCTTGCTTGCCAGCAGAACTCATGTTCACTACTCAACCACGCAGGTGTCAACAAGTTTCATTCAATCTATTATGACTTGCTAATTGAGTTAAGATGAACAAGACAGTCTTTTCTCATATTACATGAGAAGTCTGAACCCTAAAACTGGTTTTCCCCCTTAAATTAAGCTTTTATTTTCTCCCCTCATATATAAAATGGCAAAGGTGTAATAGGTCAAATAATGTTTACAGCGATCTCTTGTGAAAGCAGCTTCTTCTTCTGAAGACAAATTATTTTAAAACAATTTAGTCTTTTTCCACTCACAATTAAACTTGGAGTTTTATAACTGCCTATAGTAAGAGTAGCATCAAAGCCATCGCACGTAGAAAGGACTAGGACAGTAATCCTTTTCCTAATGCATTACTGTACTCTGGATTTACACCTAATTTGTCACTACTGTTGCCTCTACAAGAAGTTAAAAACTTCACAAAGAGAAAGCTACAGAGCTATTACCTAGGCTGTACAGTATGTACAACAATTTTGAAGTCAGGGGAAATAACATACTACTGTGCATTTTAGTGACCTTTCCTGCAGAACAGGAATAGTGATCGAATACCCAATTTTCTCAGGTTCACTTTAATTAATTTTTAAATTCAGATTAACAAATTGTCCTTCCAGAGATGACTTTTGTAATAGTAGTCATAAAAAACTAGTATTGAGTTCAAATTTGACAAAAGACTTCATTCCACCCAGAATCTTGAAAAGAAAAACACTAATGTTGTGTTGTTATTTAAATCACGCAGAACTTAAGCAAGAATCCAACGCAATCTCCAGGCTATCAGACAAACAGCATCTTGGTTTGTTCCACCAGCACCCAGCCAATGAAATAGCATCCTACCTGTCTATTGTAGCAGACCAAAACCAGGTTTCTCAGCCCTAAGATGTTGACAGAAATAGATACACAGCTGTGTTGACAGCAGACACTATTTGCTCAACTGTCATCCTCCTCCAGGCACTCTTCATCTTCCCTTTGTAGCGCAGGAGGAACTGCATAAGCAAACACCCACTTTCCCATTCAGCTTACGAAAGGAGAAGGTCTTTGCTGGCTCAGCTCATTCTGAGCAGCGGGGATTAGGCAGCACTCCTGGGAAGCAGTCACCTCCAGCACGGGGGAACCGCAGAGCAGAACAAGAAGGGCTGCTCTGCTGAACTGCAGGGCCCCACACAGATGCCAGCCCATTGCCTTCCTGGGGCTTGTGCAACAAAAGAAATGTTTCACGCAAACACGGGACAACAGAAACCTTGCACTGACTGAGAAAAGCATAACAGCACAGCAGCAGGCAGGAGAAAACAGGGCTGTCTATAACGTTTGTCTGAGAAGGTCATTCCCAATAGAAAAATTCCTGTTCAGGCTGCTGGAAAACAGGAGTGTACCACTGAGGTTAATCAGACAGTGAAGCATTCATGGTTTACGTTTGCCACTGACTTAAAAGAAATATCCATCGTACTTCTCCCAACCAGCAAGTTACACTAAAAATATACCTTCAATACACCGACAACCATCCTGCAGCACCCGCGCATACATCTCCACCCTGGACTGGGACAGCAGCTGGTCTCCTGTCAGGTACGTGTTGTGAGACGAAGCAATAAAGTAGTTACAGAGGGGCTGGTCCATATCCTGATGCACTTCACAATGCAGTGGGTTAAATATATCGCAGGCAGGGCTGCGCATGAAGTTGGTGAAACCTTTGAACAAAGAGAGAGAGTTTTGCCATGGGTGCAGTACATCTCACCAAGCGAATGATTTCTGCTCTAACATTTGTTTTCTCTGTTTATGCTGGTTTGTGCATGTCAAAAGGATAGTGCAAACAGTACCAACCCTGAAAGCAACTCGAACACAAAAGAAGGAGCAGTAAGGTTAAGAGGAACAGAAATGCTTTCAGAAACTTTTTTTTAAGTGTCACAGCTTGTTCATTTTGCTTTCCTGATTTCAGTTTAAGTGCAGTGCTTAAGTGCAGTGCTTCTGGTCACACGAGAAGCTTGTTTAAAGATCTCGGAGGCCACACCAAGGATTTAAGTACCATGTGGAAGAAGATTTCTCCTCCCCCCCACCTCGAAATCACCATGTCAATTAATTTGTCTTCTGGACAAATTAACACACCATGGCATTTAACCTATTTTGCTCCAACTCAGATTTTGATTTAATACTAAGCTGGATCTGAATAAATGTACCATTTAGAATTGCTTTAGCAAACAAGGTGAATAAGGTATGAAAACTCAAAGAAAATGCAACTATCCATATTTGATTTCACATAAGCATAAACCAATGGATTGTACAGGGCTGGTTCCAGATCTAGAGACAGAGCAGAACAAAAACTTGGCTTTTATTACACCAGTTAGAACAGGCTGTGGTGAAAAATACAAGGTATAGAATGTTTTCTGTTTGTGTTTTACAAATACCCAGTTAGCAATAAATCCACGCAAGCCTAAGGCATTCCCATCGCTGTATGATGGCTCTGATGCATCGCTGCATAATACTGCCTGCTAATTCACCCCACCAACTCTCATCCCTCCCGTGCCCCACAAAAATGCACTTACACTGACTGCTGACCTTCTATGTAACTTTCTATCGCAGCCAAATATTGTGAGCTACACCAAAACACTGTTAAAGCTTCTCTATTCCACTGCAGTATATCAAGACAAATCTTAGAAACCAAAAACTTTACCTTCAATCCCAAGAACATTTTGCTTCTTGTTTTCTTCGGAGACTTCAAACTTCTGTATGATATCAAGACAATACTCTGGCGTCACATTATTCATCTGCACAAAAGTGACAGTGTTGGTACACTTGTTTTTAATACCATGTCCCTAGCATGTTGAAATCTGCTTTAGGCTTCTGTGTCCAGTTGAAAAAACTTATGATCAAACACTGAATTCAGGCAAATATGAACAGGACAGTCAGTAACACTACTGTAAAAGGACTTCAAGATTTTGATTTGATTTTTGTCAGTGCTGCACAAGCCTCACCACCCTTACCTTTGAGGAGAAAAATAGGAGCGAGAGGTAGCAATCACTTAAATCTGTATCATTTTAGTTTAAAGATGAAAATGAGCTGTTAAGCACACTTAGTAATAGTTGTACGAGGCAATACTGCTGAAATGAGAACTATGAAGTGATAGTCTTTAATCTACTTAAACATGTAAAAAGATTTGGCAGGGTTTGATTTCATTTTCATGCATTTTCTACTTCTGTGATTTCATTACTTCCAAGAGAGTTCACAATAACACACCGGCTATGAGATAAATAATTAGACTCTGAAATGAAAAACAGCAGTTCTGAAACAAACAAGAGTTTCTCATCAAGACTTCAACTGTGGGCTAGTTGAAGCTAACTGACTAGTGGGGCCAGAGTATCACCACACACTTCTATTTCCCTTAAATTAAAGGAAAAGAAGTAGCTTCTGTCACTCATCTCATCCTTTCTCACCCCTGCCCCCCTGAAGTTGTAGGGAACAAAAATGAGAACTACAAGTGGGTGTATTTTGTTTCCTCCACTGATAATATGACAGGATGACAATGACAGCACTGAAACCCTGGCAGCTGATTTGTACCGTGATTCTGTTCACGGTCTGTGCTCTGCATCCTTTGCCAGAGTCAGCCCAAATGCCCAGACACGCGGAGCAGTCTGGAAGCAAAGGGACAGGCAGTCTCCTTTCTTAGATAGCGTGTCACCTCTGCTAACATGACTGCTTCAGGCAAAGGCAGGAGTGAGGTTACTCATCATGCAGATTACAAAACATTTATTGTTTAAGTCCGAAAACAGTCCCTCTGGGAGCTGTTCTCTTATTCATGGACTTTTTCTTTCCGATGGCAAAACCAATTCCGTTCACTCTGCTCTGTCTGTGGCCTTGGATGAGTTTGCACTTTCCAGCTACATGGAAATCTAGAAGCAGGTTGACTTTCCCGATCTTCTCGAATGCCCTGATCCAGCCAAGTGCCGAGTTCTTCCTGAGAAATGTGGGTGCCATGATTGACCATATCTCGTAACTCCTAAAAGACTGTGGCTTAAGTATGAAAAATTATGAGAGGAGGGGAAAAACTACACATCAGCATTAGCAGTATAGTAACCAGAGGCGAACAAGTGAGCAGCTCAGCTCATACGGTGACTCAAAGCTGAAAAGCTTGGAAATGTTTTCCAGCCTTTCCCCCTTTTACCCTTCCTCTGCTTTTTTCTCTTGCACATGGAAAGCATGGCTCAGCCCATTTCCTTCTCCAAACATTTTATCTCCCAGCTAAGCCAACAATCATGAGACGCCTGCAGGAATTAAACAGGATAACAGGAATGAGAACAATTCGGTAGAGAAAATAACTGATTATCCTAGCTCAAGTAGATGCTGCTGTTTGATTGCAAACACTATTCAGAGCAGGCCCTTCTTCAGCACAAGCTGGCTAGAATTAACTTTTCATTATCCCACGTGGCTCCTTGATGGCTGGGTGGCAGGGTACTTGTGTGCTCTAGCAATGAAAATGTCTAATCTAGTCCAAAGCTGCATCTGCTAGGGAAGAGACCACTGATTTGTGCTTTCAAACTGTAGCTTGAGAGCCGATGACTTAGGCTACTCATTTAAATTTGTTTTCATTGAGATTTAAAGTATTCCACTAAAAATAATATGAAATAGTAATGATCATTTTTGATGACTGAATATTTAGATACATGGATTATTGAAGATGGTCAGTAGTTAAGCTTCCAAAATCTCTTGGATACACAGCTACTTTTTATATTCCTGGTTAAAAGCCTTAATTTTGATGCAGATATGTTCTTTTAAAGGAATATCAGCCGTTGAATAACCAATAAGACCTTGGGTTTTAAGTAAATTAACTACCAATTAATGTTCCTAAAATTAGATCCTGCAAAACTACAAAAAAAGCAACATTATCCCTAATCTCCAGGGCAGAAATATAAGAAATATGAGGGAAATCACTTTGGATTTCACCAGTCTCATTGGAGGCAGGTCAGACACACATATTGCCAAAAATCTGACGCCATCCGAAGAGGCAAAGCACCGCAATGACAGGGAACAGGCGAGCCCTCTTCTGGCAAAGGCCCACAGGCTGCCACTGGGAATGTTCTCATTTCCCATTCTCATGGGAAAGGAAATAAGAGAAAGGAATGTAAAGTAGGAGAGAAGTCAGAAAAAAAAGGAAGGAGAAGTTAGAAAAGAAGTGCAATGCTAATAACAAGTGTTCCTAGACAGGGTGCCAGCCCACCGGCGCGTCCACAGTGCTCTAATGGGGTTCAGGCTTCAGCTGTTCACAGTTAATCATCCTACAATAAAAATCAAAATTATTATCAAAGCAAAGACATTCTTCCAATTTCAGTGCAAGATGTCAATGTGAGACATCATGACTTATTGGGTCACCACATAAATCAATTATACTCGTTATCCTTTTGTGCAAGCACAAGAGAGGGAGGAAGTATTCAGCTTGCTGTCCAGTTGAGAGCCTGTGTTGCTCCAAGAAGGGTTTTTGTGGAAAGCACCAAGGACCGATCAGACACGATGATCTGGTATTGTCTTCCTTGTCTGATATTAACAAGCTTCACAGCCTCTCCTCTTTTCAAAGTCCATGTAGCAGCACTGATATTCTTATAATTTCCTATTCCTTTTGGGATAGCGGTTCCTGATATCCGTCAGTACACGCTGTTTCAGACACTGACATGCTCTGGCACATACTGTCTCATTATACTCCTTCAAAAGTTCTTCTAGGAGAGCAGGTGTAGTTATTTCAAAACATTCATTTTCTAGAAGTATACTTAATCCCCACTTCTTACCACTTTTTGTCACATTTTCACTATTCACCACATCCCTAGTTATTCCTGTGGTACTGTATAATTAGTATGGACAAGTAATAAGAGTAAACTTACTCTCTCGGGCAGGCTTAACTCGAAACACACTGGCCCATATTGAATAATTAAGGAAAAGCTTCACATAATTACACGTGCATGTTCTCAGGGTATAATTCTTATAAAATTAGTTCCTCTTCATTTCAAATAAAATGAGCAGAGGCATTAATTTTTGCCACCAGTTTCATTTGTGCCAAATACGGCAACAGCCCTTTTAGAAGATACTGGATTGGTACCAGTATGACGGCGTGGTATTAACATTTCCATCTGGTTCCTGTCACTCAGGAGTACGACAGGGCACAGCACACAATACGCAGCACTGTCCTGGAGCATACAGAGAACACTGCTGGAGGCGAGATCTCAGCAGGCTGTCCTTTTCCTCAGGACAGATGAAAACTGTATTGCCCAGTAATTGATCCGTGGTCAGGCAGTGGGTGGCAAGCAGGCACGTGGGGAAACCTCACCCTCGGAAAAGCTAAACTGAACATTTCAGGTTTGTAACAGCAAAGCAGCCTTGTAACTGCGTGAAACCATCAGCACAAGAGTCAAAAAGGTATCTGCTATGACGGAAACAAAAGCACCTGGTGCGATATGGATACAGCAGAAAGGAGGAGGGATGGACAGACAGCAATGGGACAACAGCCACAGGCTGGCTGAGCCCCAGACAAGGGGCAGCGTCGCTGTGGGGCTCCCAAGACGGGGCAGAACGAGGCCATTCCCTCCATGGTGCAGGTCCAGAACAGCCAGAAGCTGCAAAGCTGCTCTTTAACAGGGAAGACGACGTTTGTAGAGCCTACTTCACCCAAGTCCAGCTTCGCAAAGACAATATGAGACAAGGTGTCAGTCAAAAGAGCCTGGAGATCCCCCCATGGAAGCCAGCAGGAGATCAGCTTCTGGGGAGGACCAACACAGACAATGATCTTGTTTTGCAAGAAAGAACACTCCCAAAGGGACAACACTCAGGCATGCAGACATGGCCGGACATCCAGGGATGTTCCTCCCTCCCAGCTACCTGTGCTAAGAGGACTGCAGGCCCAGAAGCCATTCCAGGAAACCAGCCTGCTCTCCGCTCTTCTGACATTTGAAGCCATGTAATCACAATTTCAATAGCAGTGAGCTTAGTTAACCGCACCTACATGGAAATGATCTGTTTCACAAGCTCTGAGGTGAAGGCAGCAATGAACTCTCCAAAAAAAAAGAAACCAGCTTAGCGAGTTAACAAAACCCCAAACCCCTTTTGTTCTATCCGCAGGCTGCAGAATGCTTAAAAGTCTTGCCAAAAGAGTAGCAGATGGAGTTGGACAGACTGTCCATAGATTTTCCAGCAGCCAGACAAGACCAAAACCGAAATGCTGTTCGGTTGAAGGTACTTGAGAGCTGCATTATGATTGGAACCATTATCAGCTTTTGAAGGCAATCTTGTCTTGCCCGAGGACATTGTTATCACATCTGTGTTCTGAAAACATTAAATGGTAAATCTGCTCTCACACTTAATACTGGGAAGTGGGAACACCAGAGAGAAGAGGCAAAGAAAGCGCAAGGTGCTTCTAAACTACACTGCCGAGAGGTTCATCTACAGGAGATCATGCTTGTACTCTTTTTACTGTTTGTTTTTGGAACCATGTTGAGCAGAGCATTTAGAGCAGATAGCCCTGTCCGCAGCCAGCACTGTGAGTAGTGTGCAGACAGAGAAGAGGATGCAGTATGCCAGATCCAACAGTCAACTTGTTTTTTCTGTTGCATCAGTAGTTTCTTAATGTCCTTGTGCACCCCCATAGACAGCTCTTCTGTCTCTTTCACATGTTTTTCTTCCTGCTCCAGGTCCCTGAGTGCCCTCTCCTACCACTGCTCTTCAGCTGTTCCTGGGCACTTCAGCATCTCCATGAACATGTCCTCCCTGGAGCATTTCTTTGTTTTCTCATCAGCGTCAACCTTGCTGCAGCCGCTGTCACGGGTGCTCCACTGAAGGGCACCCAAGCAGAAGGCAGTGATTAAAAAGGAAACAAAAGAAAAAGCAATGAGCTCAAAAAACTTAGGGCAACAGCATAAATGGAAAACCAAAAATATTTAGTGCTTTAAAGAAGATGTAATTAGCAGAATTGCCAGGATCAGCTTGCTTGCAGGAATCTGTGTGTTGAGGCTGTCACAATGATGTGATAGTGCTCCGTGTTTCAAGGGGGAGGACGGAAGAACCAGGGAGTCATACATGCCAGGGAATTGCCAGAGTGGCCAACAGGGGGAAATTCAGCCTGAAAACAGCACAGACTGTTGATATTTTATACTAGGGATAACTCAGAAAAAGCAGTCATTGCAGGCAGGATCCCAGAAGGGCACAGGAGATGATCCTATGATTGCAGGCAAAACACAGCGTCTATACCCAAGAAGCTCAAGTAAGTTGGGATGTTAGTATTTCTTTTCATTACGTTATTTTGGGACCATGCTCTGCAAGGATGCACGAGGTGAGCATCCAGGACCAATCGCCAGAAGCAAATGAGTCCTAGAGATCGCACGGTTCCTTCTGTACTCCTCACTGTCCAGCATACAAGTTCTCTCCATGGGTTACGCAGACAATTTTTCTGGTAATTCGATCTCTTTCAAGATGGGCCATGAAAATGTCCATGGAACAACTTTTTATAGGAATAGCTAGAGGTTTTTTTGTTCAGCAAGTTTGTTCATAAGCATATTGGGGGAGAAATGTCTGATCTTGACCCAACTTTGCTTCTTAAGTTACTTATGCTTCTTTTAATTTTTATTTTTTCTTAAATTCCTTATCAGTGTTGTCTGTTCCTGTGGTTCCCTGAACCTCACCTCTCTCAATTACTTCTCTCTGAGGAGTGTAACCTCCAGATGTGAAATTTCCTTTGCACAAGTCCCACACATCTGTGAGGAATGCCTGGAAAACAGACTTTCCTGAAGAAAAATTGGGAAAGAAGGCAGAAAGAAAAAAAGGATAGAATCCTGGACATGTCAGCCTTGGCCAGGTTGGTACAATATCATCTTTGCATTATACCCCAAAAGTGTAATCTTCCCTTAAAAATTAAGGAAGATTTCGGCCACATTTAAGAAGTTTTTATTTGTCAATATTTAAACTGCTGTCTTAATAATAAAAGCAGCAGTCCTTATAATTATTACTAGCACTGATATTCTAGAACTCCTGGGATATATATATAACAGTATTGTAGGACTCAACTTTGCTTACAGGAAAGGATATGTGAACACAAAAATTCATCTTAACATGTTGCTGCACTAAGCCAGGTACAGGCAAACCATTTGGAGACAGTCAGAAATAGTTTGCTCTTCTTGCTCTTATTTTGTCATGTGTTTCTAGCTTTAAAACATATCATGCACCATCCTAATTTAGAGTATATCTGACAAGACTTCTACTCACAAAGAGCATCTCCTGGAAATACAGATGTTGCCCCACAACACCAATAAAAAAAAAAATCCAGACGGGCTATGCAAGACGAAGAAACCATGCTAAGATGCACGACAATCAGCTGTATCCAAGAAGTGTGAATGTCACCGAACGCCACGGCAAACAAACATTGCCCACATTGCCCCACATTTGCTCTTCCTCTACTACAGTCTGAAAAAACTCTTTCTAAAAATATTTTAAAAACAACAAAAATCTTTAGATTTCTTTTTTTGTTACACCATCTGTTCTTCCCCTCTGCCTCAAACTAAACTTTTCCATAAAATCTTTCCCTCTACTTGACTGTATTTCTATGTACATACGGATTCACAGGATTCCCATACCTTTTGTTCCACCTTCAGAAACTGAGCAAGTTCTTCAACAGTGAGGTGATCCTTCTTGTCACTGTAGCTTAAGAGCAACAAGTAGAGATCTCGACGTAAGGACATCATCTTGTAAAACACAGAAAATTCTTCAAAATTTAGGGTTCCTTGGTTCTCATCTGTGTCTGCTTCCTAAGAGATAAAGACACTCAGGTAAGCATGCGAAACAGGGGTGAACTTGGGGAACAGGGCAGAACAGGATTTACACGAATAGCAATTTAATAAATTCTCGTCTGCAAAGTTCTGTTTAGACTCAAACCCTAGTAGGCTAAAATAACTGCAAAATTATAATACCATCTATTGTATTTTTTGGTGAGAACAGTCACTACACTAAAGCCACAGCTTCCCTATGAAAGTCTCAAAGCCATCTTTAGTTTTGAATTTTTTTCCCATGTAAAGAGGCTCACCCTGGGTTTTATTCTAGTCTCTGTTACTCTCCTGTATGCCCTGCAGTTATACTGGATTAAAACATAGCAAGGAACATAATAATTTCACCCCGTGGCTTCCCCTAACAACAGGGTCTGACATTTTAAAACATTCAGGACAATACCACAGCCTTAAACGTACATGAACTCAAACTGCAACACTCTCAGCCCCCTGCCAGCACTCTGTGGAAGGGACAGGTCTGGAGCAGCGATTAAGGCTCCACACCAAAATATATGCCCAATAGCCCCAGCCTTGACAGCAGTTTTTGTTTATCCTCAGAGGTAGGAAGAGAAGAAAACAGTACTTAACGCATGTTAATACAAGCTTTCTCCTGTGAACATCTGCCTAAGAGGATTGCTTTGGATTTCCAAAACAAAGAATATATTCTGGAGAACTGCTGTCAAACATTATGTAGGTCTCCACAAAAAATGAACTTTGGGGAAGCTGCAGCTCTTGCTAACTTTGAGGCTGAAAGCAGGTAACAGAAACAGAGTGAAACAAATGTTTAGAAATGTGCTGTTGTTCCCATTAATAATGTCTTTCATTATTCATAGCTGCATATAATGTTTTTTCTCTGCAGTTATAAAAGCCATCACCGTTCCTAAGTTACATTCTATTAAAAATGGTGCTTCCTTCTGTTCAGGTCAAAACACGTGCTGCACAGAGTCCTTTCAACACTGACTCGGCTTTGAACCTTCGGGCTTGTTTCTACAGGGGCACACCAAATACAAGCTCTTCTCCAGATGGAGCGTATCCTCAGCCTGCTATCACTTCTTCCTTCTATAAAGAAAGCTCTTCCCCTTGGTGTCCAACCTCGCTTCTTCTATAGAAGAGGAGCTTGTCCATCGGCAGATGCAATGAACAGATCTCTGCCTTGCTGTGCTTCCCAGGGATCCAGTCTTACCTTCCCTTCACATGAAACACTCCACTGAACTTTGAAGCACGTCTTAGAACAGGATCCAGTCCTTACACCAGTGACTCCCAGTACACACACACAACTGAAGCAGCAGCCCCATACTCTGTTCCCAGGAGCTGGGCTGCTTCGTAAGCCTGGCCACCTCCAGGGAGCCACAGAGGCTCTTCACTTCCACCTTCACCACTCTCTTATATCCAACCTTAATAACTTGAACCAGGCCTGTGAGGTCCAGGATATTAACTTGGGTACAGGCTGGCACCAACTGCACCAACATAAAAATCAGTAAACCAGTTTATTTGTAGCCGAAAGCTGTCTCTGATTATACAAAGGCTGATGGTTGTTAGAGTGCCTTATTTCACTACTACATGCTTTAAAAGTGCTGAGTGAATTACACTTTTTTTCCTCTCAGTACCTGGCTGCACAACTCGTTGCCTCTCCTGCAGCAGTCAACAATATCAGCAAACTCCGAGGATCTCGGGGAGCTGCATTTCATTGCACCTTCATAGAATCATAGAATAGCCTGGGTTG